TCCAACATAGCATGAAACTGCTGGAAAACTAAAAATACCTGATCCTTTATCCTCAACAAGAAGACCCACATATTCCATGATGCATCATCAATAAATATGACAAAATACTTATTGCCACACAAGGACTCCACCTCAATAGGACCACAAACGTCAGAATAAATCAAATCCAGGATATTATCTTTTCTTTTAGAAGACTTATTAAAAGAAACTCTATGTTGTTTGCCAAATAAACAATAATCACAAGGGGTGAGTAACGAACATTTAGCAAAGGGAATAAGAGACTTCTTTGCCAATATCTGTAACCCTTTTTTGCTCATGTGTCCGAGCCTCCTATGCCACAAACTGAGAGTGTCACTGTCTTGAGCCACGCTCAAAGAATCACATGAATCCTTCGCTTGAGTCTTGTATAAATTGCAATATACACTTTCTCTAGCCACCACAAGAGAGCCTTTGGTGATTTTATATTTTCCTCCACCCGAAATTAAGTTGAGCCGCAAATTGAGAACATGCCGCATATTTTTTAAGATCAATGTGCATTCGATATCTGTCTGCAAGTGTATATCACCAAGTCTCACAATCTTCGAGTAGCTAGTATTGCCCATCTTCACATTGCCAAAGTCACCTACTTTATACGACGTGAAAATGTCTCGATTGAAGGTAGCATGACATGTAGCTCCTGTATCCACTATCCACTCGGAATTCTGACTTGTAACATGCATACACTATTATTTCCTGCAAATAAGAATAACATCGGTCTCAAACAAAGTAGTTATAGTGTCACTGTCAACTTTCTTCTTCTCATCTTTCTTTTCACCTTTTTCCCCAGCTTGCTCTTTCTTCAATGCCCAACAATTCTTCTTGATATGACCTGGCTTCCCACAATAAAAGAAACCTCTATTTTTAGACTTTGATCTGTCGTTGGATGTTCCACGAGTTCTGGATTGGTCCCTGTACCTGCTCCTGCCCTGTTCTCCGTGACGAGTGCATGTGAGTTATCTGTATTGGTAGACTTCCTCCGAGTTTCCTTATTGAATAAACTGCTAGTAACCATACTCATCGATAACACACCATCTGGAGCTGCGTTGCTGACTGTCACAACCAGTGTCTCCTAACTGTCTGGCAAAGAACCCAATAGCAATAAAGCCTGTAGCTCATCATCGATAGTCATCTTCATGGTAGCTAACTGATTAATCAATTTCTTGAACTCATTCAAGTGCCATGCTATGTTGCTTCCTTCTTTGAATTTTAAGTTCACTAACCGCCTCATAATAAACGTCTTGTTTCCTGCAGTTTTCTGCTCGTAGAGATCCTCAAGCTTCTTCCAAAGAGACTTCACATTAGTCTCACCCGATACATGATGAAATACACTAACGTCGATCCATATCTGAATATAACTGATCGTCTTCCTGTGTTATTTCTCCTATTCTTTATCAGTCATCTTTTCTGGCTTGGCTTCATCTCCCTCAATGGGGTCATGTAAATCTTAATCGCGAGTAGGTTACAAAAAATAGAAGCTAATATTAGATTAGTGGAGGGTTACAAAAAATAGAAGCTAATATTAGTGGACAATTAATAAGAGAGTTATGCCATTATTAAGAATGTATGCATGTATATGTATGTGTTTATATGTATGCAAGTAGGTGTTTTATAGATGTATGTATGTGGTTTGGATGATATTTTTGGAAGAAATGTTTTAACATACCAACACACTTTTATAATAGGCGTTTTAAGTGGAGGGGTTACAAAAAATATAAGTTAATATTAGTGGAAAATTAATAGGAGAGTTATGTCATTATTAAGAATGTATGCATGTAAGCATTTTAAGTTGACACTTTGTTTGCAAATTGAAACGTATATTATTAGTTTGTCATATTTGTGTGTATTCAATTCTCAGCTATTAAGTCAAAACAACTTACAATCTTAAAAAAATTATAATAACATTAATATTGGATTAGTGGAGGGGTTACAAAAAATAGAAGTTAATATTAGTGGACAATTAATAGATATTGGATTAGTGGAGGGGTTACAAAAAATAGAAGTTAATATTAGTGGACAATTAATAGGAGAATTATGCCATTATTAAGAATGTATGCATACAAAAAATAGAAGTTAATATTAGTGGACAATTAATAGGAGAATTATGCCATTATTAAGAATGTATGCATATATATGTATGTGTTTATATGTATGCAAGTATGTGTTTTATGGATGCAAGTATGTGTTTTATGGATGCATGTATGTGGTTTGGAGGGTATTTTTGGAAGAAATGTTTTAACATACCAACACACTTTTATAATAGTATTAGATTAGATTAGATTAGATTAAATATTAGATTAGGTTAGATTAGATAATCTTCTATTTATTTCAAGAGTGGTTATGAAAAGTTTTAAACATGATTTAGTGTAACATATCCTTATATATGTGAATCTCTATTATAGCAAACAACACCTAATAATAAATAACAAAAAAAATATCATTGAAGAAATCATTAATCGACATGCTTATTTCATCTAAAAATCGCGACACATTGTTCGTCCGTATTATTATATGATTTTTGTTCCCGATGTTATTCCTTTAAATCTTTAAATACTTTAAATTAGTCCCTCAGAATTAGGGCCGGCCCTGGGGTAAGCCCACTAAGCCCCGGGGGCTGGGGGCAACCAAAATCTAGGGTTTTAGAAGTTTGACAAAATACTGATGTTTTGTTTGGTAAAAATCACAGCATTTCAAGAAGAAGAACCAGAAGCCGCGCGCTGTATGAAGCCTTCCTCAAAGTTAAAGAACGTAGTTTTCCTTCTTCCACTTTGACCCTAGTTACGGAAGAAACTAAAAAGATGTGATTTTTTTTTAAGAAATGTGTATTGTGGTTGCTGAATTGATGCTTCTAGGGTTCATATCGTTGCTGTTGACGGTGTTTCAAGGTATGATTCAAAAGATCTGCATCCCTGAGGGGTGGACTAATCACATGCTCCCATGCAAGAAGGAAGATGAAAAATCTGAGGCCGCCACGACCGATCATTTGGTTTCGGGAGTTCTGTGCAGGCTTCTATCTGAAGAGGGATCAGTAACAACACATTGTAGCAGAAAGGTCTTTTCTTTCTTCTTTTTCTTTCATTTTTCTTCCTTACCCATTAATGTAATAAGCGAAAGAAGTATATTGAAGGAACACATGAGGCTTGTTAGTAATTGGAATGTAAAGATTAGAAAAGGGAACAAAATATATAAATGCAATTGAAATGGGAGCAACAACAGAACATATTCCAGTAGAAATTAAGATCCTTTCTTTTTTTTTCAATCTTGTTCTTACCCATTAATGCAATGATCAGTGAAAGTGACTTATATTGAAAGAACATAAGAAGCTGGTTGGTATTTCAAATGTAAATCTTGTAAAAGGAAAAATGGTAAATGCAGTTGTTATATTTCTTATAGAAATTAAGGTTAGGTTAAAGTTCACAAAAACCCCAAAAAATTACGTTAGAGTTTGGCCCATTTAAGATATTCCCTAGTTTATTGATGTCCCGTTTATTGACGTCCTGTTTCTTGTGGAGCATTAGAGACGATAATTACTGATTGCTTCAGTACAACATCATCTGGTTAGAATAATTCCTATTCCAACAATTAGCGAGAGTTGGGATAGTGTCTGTGAGCGAGAGTACAGTTTTCTTGTTCCGATAACTTATAAGGTTCATAACTCATTTTGTTGGGAAAGAATTCATCTATGAAGTGTAAATTCCAACGCATCCTCCAATATTAAGCTTACATCTCATGCTGTTTAATTGGATGTCTTAAAATGACGTTGTTGGAAAATATTTTATAACAAATTATATCATGCAAATTATATTAGCAATACTCACCTATTTTTCCTATGGACCCTGCCTATAGGTTGTTGATGCAGCTACTAGAGAAGGTGCAATGATCTTGGAACAATGGTTTATTGGTTGTCCTGCAAGCCATGTTGTCTGTGAAGGTCCTTCTATTTGGAAATACATTGGTCATACTAATCATCTTGTAACTGTAAGGATCACTTCATTGCCTTGTATTCTCTCAACATTCATCATCTTCTATCCTGTTCAGAAACACAACATGTACTAATATTAGTTTGAGGAAATTCCTTATGCTTTAATCTGAATTGTTCAGCCGTTGTGGATCCTGAAAATAGTAAAGGATAAATCCTTACAACGGCTTGTGCACTTATCTTCTGATCTAGCAAGACAGGTCGGAATGGTTCTTGAAAATGGTCAGATCACACTAAATCAACAGATAATTTCTGATTGCCACTTTAGTACGAGTTGCATTGTTTCTTCCTTTCCTAAAATTTTAAGTCACAATCATATGTTTTGTACTCTAGATTTCACAGGAGAAATTTGACAGTTCTTTGGTATGTTCCATAATATGTTCGTATTTAGATATTGATACTGACATTCATTCTAGTCTATCATGTTGATGCCTGTAAGTCTGGGAAAAATGCAAAGTAACTCTGTCTAAAGTAAACTAAACCTAAATCCATATTCCTATAATGGGGAAAAAACTTGTATCGAATTGTTCAAACTTAGGATAAAAATATAATCAGCTTTCCAAATTCGTAGAATATCCATTGGAATCCAAAATTTTTAAGTGTCTGTATCGTTATTGTTCCTATCAAAATTTTAATACAAGGGGCAACCAAAATTGGATTGGGCTAGGGCAACCCAAACCTCGGGGCTGGCCCTGCTCAGAATTGCTATTTTGTCCCCCCATTCAACAACTTGAAACAACTTATAGGAATTGGGGTAGCTGTAGCATTTTCAGTGATTTGAGACACTAAATTTGAAACAATTCATAAGAAATGGAGCAGCAAATAGTAATTTTAACGATGTGGGGGTATAATTTCACAATACTACAGATATAAGGGAGAAAGTTTAATTATTTTAAGACCCAACCCAAGTTTTTGCCCAAAGCCTATTAAGAACCTCACGGCCCAATCAATCCTCTTTACTATAGCCTATCCACGACGAAAGGATCTCATGAACTCCAGCTAAGATCCATTCTTTTACAAAAAAACCCTCCATAACAAATATATTATACACATTTTTTGTACAGAAGAGGAAGAAGATGATGCTTACTTCTCCTCACTGCCTCCTCTCTGTCCGCCCAAAACGCTGCAGGTTACTCCCAAGGCGCTATTAACTCATTTTGCAAATTACCCCCTGTGAATTTTCGTTAATTGTATTTTACTCCCTTTTCCCAGAGCTGAGATGTCTTCTTCGTCATCAAAGTCAACGCCTCCTCCTCCTCCTCCTGAAAACCCTATTGTGGTGAGCTTCGGAACCCTAATTAACTAATTATTTTTGCAATTTTGCCCTTTCTTAATTTGTAATTGCAGTTGGGTTGTGGTGCTGTGTCCGTGGATTATTTGGCGACGGTGGCAGCGTATCCAAACCCTGATGATAAAATCAGACCCCCCCCCCCCCAAAATATTTTTGTCCATTTTTAGAAAAATCCGAATGGAAATTGATCGATTTGAGTAAAATTTGATAAATAAGCTTAATTAGTGGTGCATTTAGGTCGGAGGAGGTGGAAATGTGGGCAATGCGCTGACGGGTGCTGCTCGATTGGGCCTGAAACCTAGGATTATCTCAAAGGTGACATCTTTTTCTCGGAGGGAAAACTTCGAAATTTGGATTATGTTTTGTCACTGTATTGTTTTAGGTTGCTGATGATACTCAAGGAAGGAATGCACTTGCGGAGCTCGAGAGAGATGGCGTTGATACTTCTTTTATGGTGGTGGGTTGTTTTTCCTTTTTTGTTAATTTGAATACTAGTCTATATATCAAATAAAATAACCACTTGTTATCAACTCAATTCAATCTTTAGTAGCACTTGAATTTGATTGTTTTGATGTTAAATCGGAGTAGAGCATGCACAACTGATATTTTTGAGTGCCGCATAAAGTCCTTTATTGATTTGCTTGATGTATAGATATGTAATAAAAAGTCAAAATACGTAGTGGGACTAGATATACCTATAATGGATTCAATTGTACTTTGATATTTGGTTGATGTGTCCTCGCACACTCTTTAGGCTAGCCAATTCAACTTTTCTTCGCATCAAATACTGAACAAGGGCAAAACTATGTCTCTTGGAGCTGCATGTCCCTTGTTGTGCAGCAGCGCATGGACTGGGCAGGAATTATGGTTTTTTTCCTTCTTTTGTTAACTTGCACATTAGTCAATATTATCAGACGTAGCATAACCACTTGGTATTGACTTCTCAAGCCACAGTTAAATTTAATTATTACGATGCAACATATTACAACACTGTACTCATGAAAATGATAGTGAAATTTGAACTTATATTTGCAATGTTTTTTTTGCTTTAGTAAATTTCTTATTGGGGGTGATCGAGTCCACAAACCTTCTAAAATGGATGCATCTTTTAATATGAAATAAAGGAAGGAAAAATATCAGATATCATCTCCTTTGTTTGTTTCCTAACATAAGCTTTTGTATTCCAGGTGTCGGAGGAGGGAAATTCACCATTTACCTATATAATTGTTGACAGTCAGACGTAAGACCTTTTTGTTTCACCGTCAAGCTAGAATTGTACTATATTTTATCATATTGTTCGTACCAATTATGATATGATCTCATGTGGTTACTGAAAATGGTTTGACTTTACAAATAAGATCAGCATTTGGTATATAATATGAGATGCAAAAACTCTTTAAATCTCTTCCAGTTATTAAGACTTCATCTTAATGAACTTCTCTTGCCACAATATTGTGTTTTGTGTAGTTTATCCATGAACTTATCACTGATTACAGATATATCCCTCTCAAGGGATGAAAGAATCACATTTACACTAATAAACCATCTTGTCTTGTGTAACATATACAAGTATAGGTAACATGATATGATCAGTTGGATAACAAATTAGCTTTTCTCAATTTGTAAATCAAACATAGATGTTGCTTATACATATTCTCTCATATACACTGGATGATAGTTACTAGGCGCTCTGGACAATAGTTGATTTGACAGTTTAGAATGGAAGTTTCAGTAAAATATTTGGTTATATTTCCAGGAAAACTCGCACTTGTATTCATACCCCTGGTTACCCTCCGATGGTACCGGATGAGCTTTCCAAGCCTAAACTACTGTCTGCATTAGATGGAGCTAATCTGGTATACTTTGACGTGAGATGGCATGAGACTGCTTTAGTTGTAGCAAAAGAGGTAATCACCATTTAATCCAATTATGCTGATATTTTCAACAATGCATCACCATTCTCTATGAGCTAATTGCTGCACTAAAATCACAATAAAAAAATTGAAAATACCTCATCGACTCTACTTCTTTGGCCAATATTTTTGAGATGGATTCCTTTCAACGTTTTCTCAGTTGTTCATTCTCTTGTCTTGTCTGGTCTTATTCAACTGGAAAGTATATTGACATGCATCATGCCAAAGTTATTTCAACTTTTCTTTTAAAATTTGATCTGATAGAGTTTTCTAGCATCTACCTCTATGCTCTACCAATTGACTTTAAAATATCCAGACCTAAAGGTGTCTTGCGAGAATGACAGTTGCATAGTCTATACATTACTATTGCATACTGAAAGGAAGATTGCCTTTGGTTTTTGAACTTTCTTCTGTAAATTATTAAAGTTTGATGCTGACTGGTGAATGTTTTAGTTTTCTTCTAACAATACACTCCCGCTTTCTTTTTTCACTCAATTAATCTGTGCTCATGGAATTCTTCAGTGCAGGCAGCCCGGAGGAAAATACCTATTTTAGTTGACTCAGAAAGAAAGAGGGAGGGTTTGGATGATCTTCTCAGCCTTGCTACATATGTTGTATGCTCAGAAAAATTTCCACAGGCAAGAAAGCTCTTAGACTCAATTGATTCTATCTTGTAAATACTTTACAAATTTGAGGACCTGCAGCTTTTTACTAACCTTGAGATAATTATAACGCTTTAACCTTTTGTTGGTTTTATGAATAGTATCTGTATTCCTTCATCCTGTTAAACATGATAACCTTTGAGTATCCTGACATGTACTCTTGCAAATCTTGAGTGAGGATTATGGTTTGAGCATAGTAACGATATATTATTAACGTCTAATTTTCATATCATAAATGGTTCCTTAATGTAATACGATATTATCCTGCAGCAATGGACAGAAGCTCCATCCACTCCAAGTGCATTGGTATCAATGCTTCTGAAATTGCCTAATCTCAAGTTTGTCATTGTGACCCTTGGAGAGAAAGGTTGCATAATGCTTGAGAGAAGCATAAAAGGTGAGCTCAGTCTATCGTCTGATTGATTGATACAAATTGAGGAAAGGATGAGATGTTGCTGATATTGTTCATATATTGCTTTTGTAACATAATCATTATAATTATTCGCTTGATTTTCCTCTTGTAGAGAATTCCAATGAAGAGGAAATTGATGTAGAGAGCTTATTAGATTCACTCAAACAGCAAGTTGATCAAAGTTCTACCTCTCCAAAGTGCATCTCATCCAACGTATGTATGTTAATTGCCAGAGTGATGTTTACAATTCATTGAATATTCAACCTCTTTGTGCAATTCTAGTATAGAGTGATGTTTACACTCGAATTTCTTGTTTCAGTCTACCCTGAGAATTAAAGCAAATGGAATTGGTGCAGTTTGTGGAAGGCTACTAATTGGAACAGCAGACACGATACCTCCTGCAGATGTAATTGACACTACTGGTGCTGGAGATGCTTTCATTGGAGCAGTTCTATATGGTTTGTTTAACACATCATTTCATGTTTTTTATGTGTCATTACTGCTTCATGCTTTCACTAGGGCCATAAGTAATAACACCCAAGTATTTTCCTTTATTAGATTCTATGCTTGAAAGATTAGGCATAGTAAATCTGGGCCAGATACAGAACTTCCTGGTGTCATCTATTAAAAAAATGTTAAATTTCACCTAATCACCAAATTTTTAGGGGGTTTCGCACAAAACCACCGTAAACTATTTTATTAGAGAAAAAACCCCAAGGTGCAAACTTTCAAATCTATAGAAAAATACATTTACTATCAGAAAAGTATCCAACAAGGATGGTAGGCCTCCAACAAAGAAGTAAATGACCAACATTCAATTGGTTCTGATAACATACGATATATCTTTCTGTAAATTCGAAAGTTTATGATATTTTTCTATGATAAAAATAATTTATTGTATTTTCATGAAAACCCCTAATTCATGGTAGCTTTGTGAAATTTACCACCTATAAATAAATCCATATGCTATATTTGCAACTTCTATGCCCTTGTATGGATGCTTAACCTTCTACCTTTTGCCTCTACAGTGGTAATTACCTCTTCTTCTCTAGCGTCTACAGATTTCATTTTCTATCATTTGTTAAAAACTGTTCTTCTTGAACCGAGTATTTTCTAAATTTGCTTTTGGTTGCAGGCAGCGGCGAATTGCAGGGCTTTGGGTGCTCGCAGCGGTTTACCATGGCGAACACATCCATGCCTTTCACCATATTGGGTCTAGTCGATTCATCCCCAAGATGATTTGTTTGGTTGTTTCGAGCTGGCGAGCTTACTGCTGAGTGTTGAGAACGATTTCAGTTCTCTTGCATATACACTGCAGTATCTGTATTGTACACCATCTTAGTTTCATATTTGAACAATCCAAACTTTTTTTTTCTCGCATCGTACAGTCAAGGATAATAAAAGAATTCAAATGATGAGAAAAACCTTTTAACCTATTCCGCAGAATTGTATGTCTGTGTCAGTGTACCATAATTTTGAAAGTTTTATGAGAGAACGTTCTAAAGTTTTATGAGAATGTTTTAAGGAAAATTGTGTCAAGACCCCAATTTTAAGAACCCCATGTGACCAGCCCCTTCAACCTTCTTCACATGTGTTTCAGCCCCCAAAACCAAAACCCAAAAAAAAAAAAAAAATGAATCAACCCTTATTCTCTATCAACTAAGCGTAGAGAGAGGAAAAAAAAAAATTTCCTGAAATGTCCTCATTTCCTCCTCTCTCTTCTCTCCAGATTTAATCTACATGGCTCTTCCTCCTCTCATCTCCTCTCCTCCTCTCTCCTAACCCATCTCCTTCCTCCTCTCTCCCTCTTCCTCCTTTTTCTCTCAGATACCGACATCCCCCTCCGCCACCATCAACTTTGGATGCGCGCTCCGTCCATGTTGTCTCCTTCATCGGCCTTGCCTCTGCCACTACCAACCTTGAGCGCACCCTCCTTCCTCCTCTCTCTCCTATCCGGATCTAATATCCACGACTCCTCCCTCCTACTCTCCCCTCCTCCTCTCTCCTAACCATTTTCTTCCTCCTCTCTCTCTCTTCCTCCTTTTCTCTCAAACACCGACATCCTCCTCTACCACCATTGACCTTGGGCGCACGCTCCGGCCATGTTGTCTCCTTCTTTGGCCTTGCCCTCCGCCATATTGGGTGCATGTTCCACAAGACCTATAAGCTATCGGTTTTTCTAAAAAAATTTATAATTTATTTTTGAACATCATGAAAAGATGAAAATTTAAAGAAATACCGGCTAAATATGATTTTTGTTTGACAATTTTTATGTTAAGTTCAAGTATAATGGATTATATATTAAGTTAATTTGTTAAATATTAAGTGTAATTTGTTACATGTTAAGTCTAATGCGTTATACGTTAAGTCTATTTAGCATGATGTAGGTTGTCTAAAAATCACTGCAAATAGCTGATCCCCCATCAAACACCAATGATGGAAGTTACAATTCGACGGCTTCCAAAAGGCTACAATTTGAAGACTTTCACGTAGATCGATGAATATTATAATTTGACGACCTTCGTAACAACTGATGAAAGCTCTAATCAACAGCCTTCACAATCAATATCGGGAGTTACAATCTGACGACTCTCATATTTTTAAGAAGCCAAGATGAAGATTACAAGATGATGGTCTTTGCAACGCTCTAGCAAAAGAGACTACAAATTGACGGTCTCTTCAAACCAAAACGCAGGGTTCATCCCCAGCGTTCAAGTCCAAACGCACGGGTCGGACCTGCGTTGCAACATTAAAACGAACGGGTCAGACCTGCGTTGCAACATCAAAACGCACGGGTCGGACCTACATTGCAACATCAAAATGCAGTGCGACTTGTGCGTTCTCAACCACCAAAATAGGCCCAACTCTGCGTTTCAAGTCTAAAACACAGAGTTCGGGCCCAGAAAGCAAAGATTCTCTGCGTTTGACTCATTCAAACGGTTCCAAAAACTATTTTCCACGATCTGAGGGGATCACAACTCCACCCAGGAGTGGTATAAGAGGGCGATTACACCTCTTAAACCCTTGAACGGTTTCAAAACCGTTTTCCACGAAATGAGGTTGGTTACACCCCATTAAGGGGAGATTTTAGGGGGCGGTTACACCCTTAAAACCTCTATAAATATGGGTAAACTCAACTGAATTCGGGACTGGCTTTTTGGGGAATTGTTGGAGCTTTGGAGATCGGCAACATGAGCTTTCTTCATCCTTAGCTTACAAACTGATTTCGGTTAAATCAACTCTTTCATAGAGTTTCAAACTCGTTTAGAGTTATCAACTCATCAAGAGTTCTTTCAAACTTGCCATGCAAGTTCTCCACAGCGTCAATTCGTGAGGAGAAGACTATGTTCCAGTGAAACAAGACGTTCAGATCGTCAACGAGAAGCAAACTCGACGCAAGTATTCGAGGGAGGTATCTCATCGCCACCGTGAAGAACCCAATTTTAAACAAAGGGGAGGATCTCTGTCGATCTTCTTATCTTTTGTAATCAGGAATACAAATTGTAATCGAGATTGAGAGAGTTGTAAACATTCTTTTTTTAAGCAGTTAGAGGGAATAAATCAAATTCAATTATTTCATTTTTCTTCTTATTACAAAATTTCCAACAAACACATGATGTTAATTCTAATTGGTTAAATATTAAGTCTATGGAGTTAAATATTAAGTCTAATCGGTTAAATGTTATACCTAGCTAATTGGAAGATATTTTTCATCTAATGAAAAACATGTTATTTGTAATGAAAATAATATTAAGTCTAAATTTTCCCATGTTAATTCTAGTGAGAGGAATGTCAAGTCTAATATGTTGAATGTTAATTCTAATTAGAGGAATGTCAAGTCTAATAATGACATTTTTAAGTCTAATCAGAAGATTGTCAAGTCTAATCTATTAAGTATTAAGTCTCGCTTGTTAACTCAAATTAGTTCGATGTTAAGTCTAATGAGTTGGAAGTAAAGTCCAAGGGCTTGTATGTTAAGTCTATTGGGTTGAATAATAAGTCCAATGGCTTGCATGTTAACTCTATTAGGTTAAATAATAAGTCTAAAGGTAGAATATTAAGTGTAATAGATGATATTATTAAGTCTAATTTATTGAATATTAAGTGTAATTTGTTACATGTTAAGTCTATTGTGTTGTACGTTACATTTAATTGGCGTGATGTTAATTCTAATTATAGGAATGTCAAGTCAAATAAGTTGAATGTTAAGTCTAATTAGAGGAATGTCAAGTCTAATAAGTTGAATGTTAAGTCTAATCTTAAGATTATCAAGTCTAATATATTGAATATTAAGTCTCGTTTGTTAACTCAAATTGGTTCAATGTTAAGTCTATTGGGTTGAATAATAAGTCCAAAGGGTTGTATATTAAGTCTATTGGGTTGAATAATAAGTCTATATGTGGAATGTTAAGTATAATGGATTATATATTAAGTCTAATTTATTGAATATTAAGTGTAATTTGTTACATGCTAAATCTAATACGTTATATGTTAAGTCTAATTAGCGTGATGTTAATTCTAATTGGTTGAATGTTAAGTCTATAGAGTTGAATATTAAATTTATTTCTTACCAACTAAGTACAGAGAGAGAAAAATAGAAAAATCTCAAAATGCACTTATTAGAATTAATATCACGCAATTAGACTTAACATACAACGCATTAGACTTAACATGTAACAAATTACACTTAACATTTAACAAATTAGACTTAACATATAATTCATTACACTTAACATTCTACCTTTAGACTTATTATTCAACCCAACAGACTTAACATACAAGCCATTGGATTTATTATTTGACCCAATAGACTTAACATCGAACTAATTTGAGTTAAAAAGCGAGACTTAATACTTAATATATTAGACTTGACAATCTTCTGATTAGACTTAAAAATGTCGTTATTAGACTTGACATTCCTCTAATTAGAATTAACATTCAACATACTAGACTTGACATTCCTCTCACTAGAATTAACATGGGAAAATTTAGACTTAATATTATTTTCATTACAAATAACATGTTTTTCATTAGATGAAAAATATCTTCCAATTAGCTAGGTATAACATTTAACCGATTAGACTTAATATTTAACTCCATAGACTTAATATTTAACAAATTAGAATTAACATCATGTGTTTGTTGGAAAATTTGTAATAAGAAGAAAAATGAAAGAATTGAATTTGATTTATTCCCTCTAACTGCTTAAAAAAAGAATGTTTATAACTCTCTCAATCTCGATTACAATTTGTATTCCTGATTACAAAAGATAAGAAGATCGACAGAGATCCTCCCCTTTGTTTAAAACTGGGTTCTTCACGGTGGTGATGAGATGCCTCCCTCGAATGCTCACGTCGAGTTTGCTTCTCGTTGACGATCCGAACATCTTGTTTCACCGGAACATGGTCTTCTCCTCACGAATTAACGTTGTGGAGAACTTGCATGGCAAGTTTGAAAGAACTCTTGATGAGTTGATAACTCTAAACGAGTTTGAAACTCTATGAAAGAGTTGATTTAACCAAAATCAGTTTGTAAGCTAAGGATGAAGAAAGCTCCCGTTGCCGATCTCCAAAGCTCCAACAATTCCCCAAAAAGCCAGCCCCGAATTCAGTTGAGTTTACCCATATTTATAGAGGTTTTAGGGGTGTAACCGCCCCCTAAAATCTCTCCTTAATGGGGTGTAACCGACCCCATTTCGTGGAAAACGGTTTTGAAACCGTTCAAGGGTTTAAGGGGTATAATCGCCCCCTTAAATCACTCCTGGGTGGAGTTGTGATCCCCTCAGATCGTGGAAAATGGTTTTTGGAACCGTTTGAATGAGTCAAACACAGAGAATAGCGTTATGGGCCCGAACTCTGCGTTTTAGACTTGAAACGCAGAGTTGAGCCTATTTTGGTGGCTGAGAACGCACAGGTCGCACTGCGTTTTAATGTTGCAACGCAGGTCCGACACGTGCGTTTTGATGTTACAACGCAGGTCCGACC